TGACTGCAGCCCTGTCAATTTAACTGCACCCTTGTGAGAGACCCTGAGCAGCCAGAACTAGCCAGTCAACCACTCCTGGATTTCTGGCCCTCAAAAACTTCATGAGATAAAACATTAGTTGTTGGTTTTTTTTGTTAATTCTCACCCCACTATGTTTTTTCCATTGAAATTTTTTTTTTTTTTTTTTTTTTTTTTTAAGAGAGAGTGGAAGGAAAGGAGGATGGGATAGATAGAGGGAGGAACATTAACATGAGAGAAAGATATCAATTGGTTTTCTCCTACATGTGCCCCAACAGGGCCAGAGATCAAACCTGCAACCCAGATATGTGCCCTTGATTGGGAATTGAACCTGTGATCCTTCGGTGCACAGGCCAATGCTCTACCCACTGACCCATACCAGCCAGGGCAACACAAGTTGTTTTAACTTAAGTTTTAGGGTAATTTGTTCCAAAGTAATGGATAGCTGGAAAGGGTACAGACACTGCCCTTTTAAGCTCCCTCCTAAATATTGGTCCTAAGTCCCACACCCAACAGTCTTAAGAAATAATGCCCAGCTGGGTGTGGCTCAGTGGTTGAGCGTCGACCTAGGATCCAGGTGATTGGGGTTCAATTCCTGGTCAGGGCACATGCCCGGGTTGCGGGCTCGATCCCCAGTCGGGGGGGTGCAGGAGGCAGCCGATCAATGACTCTCTCCCTCTCTCTTCCCCTCCCTGAAATCAATAAAGATATATATTAAAAATATATATATATTGAGGAACACATAGTTATTATGTCAAACACAAGTTCCTGTACAGGTTTTTTGTTAGTAGAAATAAACTTTTCATCATTTCGAGAAGAACAAACTCTGTGATTATGAAATCTTGTTGCACGTGTGATGAGTAAAACCCAGTTAACAAGTGATATGAGAAGAAATAGTTTCCTAAGACAGCTCTTTAGTTCAGAAACAAAGTCTACCAAAATTCAAAGAGATAAGTAAGGTTATTCAAACATTCCACAAGGGGTATATTTTATAGAAGACATTCTAATATTAGCCAAATACTTAGTTGTAGACCAGGTCACTCAAAGCTGCGTGAGTGACTTGGCTTCAGTAGGATGAGCTCACCTTCATGATTACAGTGCAGCAATTATATTGTGCAACAGTCCAAGGGCTTCAAAGGCCAGGGTAAGTGTGGAAGCTACCGGGCTTTTAAAAAAAACTTTAGAAGCTTAGCTGCTGCCAAGCTGCCTAATTTGGAAAGAAGCAAGTAATTATTTGTTCTGATATTAATAAGGAAGCCTAGATCTTAAAACCAAAAAGATAGACTTCTATCTCCAGAGTGCTAAGGTATTATTTCTATTTTGCAGGCAAGGCAACCAACAGATGTGCCAAAAGTAGCTTGCCAGAAGCCCTTCAGCTAATAGTGAGCAAGGACTCCTCCATGCCGAGAAACACAGGGTGGAGTTCTTAGGATGGGAGTGGAACAGATGCACTCTTTGCTCCTCTCCCCTTATGGCAGCCCAGGCTGAAAGGGCGGCCCTTCCACACCTCCTGAGGCTCACTTTGCTCATAGATCTTGAACTGGATATAGAACAAATGGCACCCAGTACCAGGGTGACTGTGCAGAGACGTAGGGCACGCCCTGACTCAAACCGGGAGTTCACCATGAGAATGCCTCTCAGTTAAGGGAAGTCACACTGAAACGTCCTGATGAACACAGAGCTCAGAGAGCTGAGGAAGTACAAATTAGTAAACAGAAGTAGTGAAGTACCAAAAGAATAAAGATAGTGGTATTGGTAACGGAAATGACTGAGAGGAAAGTGAAGCTGAGTCTTGGTGGGAGATGAAGTAGGGCCTGAGAGCCAAGGTAGACCTAGTGAGCCAGCTCTCCCACAGAGCCTTCTCCAGGGCATGGGATGCCTGAATCCTTAAACTAAATCCCTGCTGCAAGGGCACAGGAGCTGTTCTGGGCTACTGCAGAAGTGAGACTGAAGCAGGGTGGGGTTCAAGATCATAATTTACCTTTCACCTGAGGTCTGGGACACAGCCGGCCTCCAAATCACATTTGTTAAATAAATGTGTTTGCGTAAGCGAATCAATAGTCTGTTTTCCCAGGACCTAATTTCCCACCACATCCTAGGAGTAACTCCTGGATATGAACGCCTTCCTGGTTCACAAGTCGCTTTCACATACTTTAATTGCATTTTATCTTTACAACAACCCTGTGGGAAACCCAAAGCTGACATTAGCCTCACTTGGCAGATAATTATCATCCCCATTTTACTGATGAGAAAATTGAGGCTTGGAGAAGTTAATAACATGTTCACAGTCATAGGCTGAGGACAGAAGCCAGCGTTCTTTCCCCAGAGGCTGGCCCCCTGCCGTCACCCTGCAGGGCTTACAACTGAATCACCAGGCAAAGAGGTTAGAGCACAATAACAATTTTATTTCAAACAACATTGATGGGATTGCATCTTATACTCTTACCAAACACGTTCAAGTTTGTTAGAGGCTTTGCGTCACAAATCCTCTGAACTGGGTAATGAGGGAACAGGCGTGAGGGTGGGGGGCTTGGTCTCTTCTTGTCCGGGAAGCTTTGCACAAGCTTTAATAGGCCGCAAGAAACCACTCTTGTAAGTTTGGTTAGTCACTGGACTGGTCTGTGGAGAGTAGAGGCAGGACGCAGGGGGCTGGATCGCAGAAAGTGGGCGTGACAGTTTACCCAGGAAAAGAAAAAGTGTTGGAGGAAAACTGGGGAGAATGGATTGACTGTGTAGGAAAATTCTGAGAGGACAGGAGAAACAAAAGGAAAGGAAGTTCAGTTGAGTAAATTAGCCGCAGCCTTGGGCTTAGCAGCTGCTTTCTCCACCAACCAACCACAAGTAACCTCTGCAAAACCAGTGGCTGTCGGAGAGCCAAGGACCAATAATCAGGGCACTAACTTTTAAAAAATGTCCCCAAACCGCCCTAGCCGGTTTGGTTCAGTGGTTAGAGTGTATCCTGGGTTCGATTAGGATTAAAAAAAATAAAATAAAAATATCCCCAAACCTTTCTAGTTTCAGTGGGGAGGGGAGGAAGGATAGACTAGTCATGCATGTTACTTTTCAATATGTAAGGCATAATGGTGAGTGGTCTAGAAACCAGAGAGACTAGCTCTGAAACTCTGTGCCATCGCTTCTTAGATGTGACTTTGGACAATTTAAGATTTTTTTGAGTGTGTTCCTCATCTGCAAAATAGATATTAAAGGTATTCGCTTCTCGAGGTTTATTAAATGAGAATGTTTGATATAGAGCCAGGCACTAGTTGGCACTCAGGGAGATGGTATATGATTCGTCCTTAGGAATCCAGGGAATACAGAAAAGCACATCCTAACCCTACCTCTGTAATACATCCACCTTAGTCTTTGCTTTTCCTACTCCACAAGCTTCTCAGCATTCAGCAGTCTCAGAACTAACATTCAAGCACAGAGCTAAGGTGGGTCAGAAAAGTGGTGGGTTGGGTGAGGTGAGGAAGGAGCCTGCCAAAGGCAGGACCCCTCCCCCCCAGGTGAACAGCCTGAGCCCGGGATTAAACAAGACTCCTGACTGCTCATTCCCCAAAAAGCAGCAAGTGGACTCGTGTCCAGGCGGTGATCCCGCCCACCAGAGCTGGGAATGACTTTCAGAAACGAGTCAGCGTGCCTCCAAAAGGTAACTTAGTCGAGAAGTCGTTGTCTACTCAAAATCAAACATCTGTAGGACGAGATTCCAGACTTGTGTGCACGCCGGGCTTACTCCTCGACGCTCCTTCTCAGTGTTGTTCCTCTTAACCCCGGCGCATCCGCGTCCAGGGCCCTCTGCTCGCTCCTCGCGCCGAGACGCGGCCGGGCCGAGATCGGCCGCCTCTGCTCCCATTCCCTTCGGCTCTCTCGCTCCACTCGGTGACCGGAACCTGCGGCAGCCAGTCCCTCCCCACCAGCGGCCCGCCGCCGAGTCCCGATACGTCCCTCCAGGGCCCGCCAGGCCGCAGCTATTCTTGCAACACTCCGCACCGCGGCACCTCAAAAATAACCCGCTAGGAAATCCCGGTCGGACCGGCGCCAACAGGCCGCACGACCCCGGAAGCCGGGCGCAGGGGACACGGCCTTGGATGCGCCCGCCGCNCTCTTACCAAACACGTTCAAGTTTGTTAGAGGCTTTGCGTCACAAATCCTCTGAACTGGGTAATGAGGGAACAGGCGTGAGGGTGGGGGGCTTGGTCTCTTCTTGTCCGGGAAGCTTTGCACAAGCTTTAATAGGCCGCAAGAAACCACTCTTGTAAGTTTGGTTAGTCACTGGACTGGTCTGTGGAGAGTAGAGGCAGGACGCAGGGGGCTGGATCGCAGAAAGTGGGCGTGACAGTTTACCCAGGAAAAGAAAAAGTGTTGGAGGAAAACTGGGGAGAATGGATTGACTGTGTAGGAAAATTCTGAGAGGACAGGAGAAACAAAAGGAAAGGAAGTTCAGTTGAGTAAATTAGCCGCAGCCTTGGGCTTAGCAGCTGCTTTCTCCACCAACCAACCACAAGTAACCTCTGCAAAACCAGTGGCTGTCGGAGAGCCAAGGACCAATAATCAGGGCACTAACTTTTAAAAAATGTCCCCAAACCGCCCTAGCCGGTTTGGTTCAGTGGTTAGAGTGTATCCTGGGTTCGATTAGGATTAAAAAAAATAAAATAAAAATATCCCCAAACCTTTCTAGTTTCAGTGGGGAGGGGAGGAAGGATAGACTAGTCATGCATGTTACTTTTCAATACGTAAGGCATAATGGTGAGTGGTCTAGAAACCAGAGAGACTAGCTCTGAAACTCTGTGCCATCGCTTCTTAGATGTGACTTTGGACAATTTAAGATTTTTTTGAGTGTGTTCCTCATCTGCAAAATAGATATTAAAGGTATTCGCTTCTCGAGGTTTATTAAATGAGAATGTTTGATATAGAGCCAGGCACTAGTTGGCACTCAGGGAGATGGTATATGATTCGTCCTTAGGAATCCAGGGAATACAGAAAAGCACATCCTAACCCTACCTCTGTAATACATCCACCTTAGTCTTTGCTTTTCCTACTCCACAAGCTTCTCAGCATTCAGCAGTCTCAGAACTAACATTCAAGCACAGAGCTAAGGTGGGTCAGAAAAGTGGTGGGTTGGGTGAGGTGAGGAAGGAGCCTGCCAAAGGCAGGACCCCTCCCCCCCAGGTGAACAGCCTGAGCCCGGGATTAAACAAGACTCCTGACTGCTCATTCCCCAAAAAGCAGCAAGTGGACTCGTGTCCAGGCGGTGATCCCGCCCACCAGAGCTGGGAATGACTTTCAGAAACGAGTCAGCGTGCCTCCAAAAGGTAACTTAGTCGAGAAGTCGTTGTCTACTCAAAATCAAACATCTGTAGGACGAGATTCCAGACTTGTGTGCACGCCGGGCTTACTCCTCGACGCTCCTTCTCAGTGTTGTTCCTCTTAACCCCGGCGCATCCGCGTCCAGGGCCCTCTGCTCGCTCCTCGCGCCGAGACGCGGCCGGGCCGAGATCGGCCGCCTCTGCTCCCATTCCCTTCGGCTCTCTCGCTCCACTCGGTGACCGGAACCTGCGGCAGCCAGTCCCTCCCCACCAGCGGCCCGCCGCCGAGTCCCGATACGTCCCTCCAGGGCCCGCCAGGCCGCAGCTATTCTTGCAACACTCCGCACCGCGGCACCTCAAAAATAACCCGCTAGGAAATCCCGGTCGGACCGGCGCCAACAGGCCGCACGACCCCGGAAGCCGGGCGCAGGGGACACGGCCTTGGATGCGCCCGCCGCGCAGGCGCCCGGAGGAGGCTCGCACCGCTCCGGCGCGGCTTCCGGGCCAAGATGGCGGCCGCGTGGCTGCTGCTGCGTGCCCTCCGCCAGGGCCCGGGGCCGGGTCCCGAGCGGCTGCGGGGCCCCTGCTTGGGCTGGGGCTCAGGCCTCTACGTCGGGGCCGGGAGGAGGTGGCCGTACTTTGTCCACAGGACTCCGATGGGTGTCGCCGGGGCTGGAGGCCGGGCCCTGCAGGTAACCCCGGTCGCGTAGATGCTGCTCCGGCCGGGGCGGGGAGGAGGCAGCGCATCCGTACAGGCCCCGGCGTGGGTGTTTCCAGCCCGTACTTGTGTATTGATATTTTCTGCCTGTCTTCCTTGCGTTTTAAAATTTAAAACAATAAGGTTTTCACCGTTTTCTAGCAGGAAATTATACAGTAATCCTGTTCTAGATTATTGGTCACTTTCCTGAACCTGAGGGCAACTATGGATATGTTACGCTTTTATTTTTTTGCTTTTTCGTTCAATTGAAAACATAATTTATTATCTTAAGTCTGACCCTTTGCTTATTCTATAAAATAAGGGCTGAAATAGACAACTCACACATACTTGTGAAATCTAAGCAAATCCTCTCACCAATGGCTATAATAGTAATAAACTAAGCAAGCTGGTTTAAACAGTCTTTGGCGCTGACGTTGAAGAATGACAATTTTGTGTGTGTGCTCTAACACACTGATGTTATTTATTAAGCCCAGTCCACACTCTATGACCTCCTTTATATGACCTCTGGTCCTCAGTGAGCCAAGAATAGTAGTAAATTAAATGGAACAATAATTGTATAGACTAGGATTTTCATTCTATTGCTAAAGGAAATTGCATGTAATGTGCAATTAAAAAATAAGTGGCCCTGGCCGGGTAGCTTAGTCGGTCGGAGTGTCCTCTCCATATGCCAAGGTTGTGGGTTTGATCTCTAGTCAGTGCACAGACAAGAAGTAACCAGGGAGGCCCTGGCCAAGTAGTTCAGTGGGTTAGATCCTGGTCAGGGCACATACAAGAATCAATCAATGAACAGGTAAATAAGTGGAACAACAAAATCAATGTCTCTCTCTTTCTCTCTGTTCCTCTCTCCTCTCTCTCTCTAAAAATCAATCGATAAATAAAAAAATTTTAAAGTAACCAATGTACGCATCAATAAGTGGAACAACAAATAGATGTTCTGTCCCTTCCTCCCTCTCTCTCAAAATCAGTCAATCAAAATAAATAATAAATGAAATTGCCAGCACAGACACAGAAAAAGTTAAATTGGCCTTAATAATATGAAACACCCCCTGACTGGTGCGGTTCAGTGGTTAGAGTATCGGCTTGTACCCTGAAGGGTTGAGGGTTCTATTCCCGGTCAAGGGCACATACCTGGGTTGCAGATTCCATCCTTGGGCCTGGTCAGGTGAGTTTGGCAACCAGTTTCTGTCTGTTTCTCTTGCTCCCTTCTACTCCCTCTCAATAGAAAAAATATCCTCAGATGAGAATTAAAAAATATATATATATACTAAATGCATTCAAGTGGGAGAACGCTCATCTTGATAACAGAACTTTGTAAGTATAGACTGGTAAACTACTATAGTACCTGGAAGTGATCTTCAATGATTGGTTGTGTGGAGGTGTCAGGAGCAAAGGGTCTGGGCAGTGACCGCAGCCTTTAGGAGCCTCTGCTCTTTTTGTCTTGTGGGAGAGTTGTGAATCTGGCACAGAATGGTAGCCAGTGCTCCGTGCCTTTAGTTCAGCATTTCTTCGACTTGATCACTTGCTTTTAATATTTTGATTTTTTTTTTCTTTTGGTGTTATGTTACAATCAATAATGCTGTTAACATTTTAGGCCAGTATAAACATTAAAAATAAGTATTTGGGCTTTTAGAAAAGGTTTTTCATTAGGGAATTAGTCCACATTGCTTTGGTGTGCTGTGATGTTGGTATGACTGTTTCTGGGTATCATTCTTTTTTCAGAGTTTGCAATTGCGACTGCTAACTCCTACCTTTGAAGGGATCCATGGACTGTTACTGAAACAGCATCTATTCCAGAATCCAGTTAGACTCTGGAAGATTTTAGGTATGTATCTATTGAAAGACAAGTGACAGCCTGTACCATTTGTGAATAAATTAGGATAATGTTGCTGGTTTGACATTGACACAAAAATGAAATCACTAATAGGACCTTTGGCTTCTATTTATCTTGAGCTCTTAGATGCTTTGAAATGAGATTTGCAAAAGGGAAGATTATCTGTCGGAACATGCCATTTTTGCTTATTTTGAGTCTTTTTTTTTTTTTAAATATATCTTTATTGATTTCAGAGAGAGGAAAGGAGAGGGGGAGAGAGAGACAGAAACATCAATGATGAGAGAGTCATTGATCAAGCCCACAATCCGGGCATGTGCCCTGACCGGGAATCGAACCCCAATCACCTGGATCCTACCTAGGTCGATGCTCAACCGCTGAGCCATGCCCGGCCGGGCTTGAGTCCTTTTTTTTAAATTCTGGTGTATAGCAGTAATTGGGCTGCTTGAAAAGTTTTGTCATGTTCTCTAGCCAGCTCCAAGAACATTTGTAAAGATTTACAAAGTGGCTCCTATGTTTTATATCCAGAAGGTAACTGGAAATAATTTGCTCTCACAATAGAGTTGCACTGTTTAGTGAAACTGACATTCTGCTTTGTCTCTCTTGACCTTAGGTCAAAGGATCTTAAGGATTGAAATCTGTAATTTTACTCCCCTTTTATCCATTTGGAATAGGGAAAAAGTTAAATCTTGCAACTCCTAGTGTACATTAAACAGCCTGGTGTCCACACATGGTCAGGGAAAGCTGTGACTTGGGGAAAGCAGTTTGCACATCTGCTGTCTGTGTTTTCTCATTTAAATCTACACATGCACTCAGTGGCGCACACTTCACCCTTCAAACAGCCTGATCTGTGTCAAGTGGCCATCAAGGTAGTTTCACTTGTGTTTCTGTTAATGCCTGTGAAGAAAAGTACAGCTCAGTTATAGCTTTAAGAATCCTTTCCCCCCATTTTTAACACTGATTTGTTCAGGCCTTGGATAAGACAGAGCCTTTTGTGTGAGGAGTGTTATGTGGTCCTGTTTTGGTGATGGTGACAGCTGGCTCACTGCCTTACTGCATGTGCTAAAGCCACTTGTGTCATTCATTTAAGTTCATTAAAAGTGACTGTATATGTTAGAGGGATTGTCCTCCAACAGACTCATGACACTTTCAAATTTATGTTCATAACTAATTTTCATTTCCTCGTATTGACTAATTTAAATGACAAAGGTACTTCATAAGTTGAAGTAGTTTGTTATTCTATAATTTTAAATACTATATACTAAGAGTGATAGAAGGAAATGCTCTATTTCAGACTTCTAAATCACAGGGATATAGGTTTTAGGTAGTCTCTGTTTTGATTTGGTTGTTCCAGAACACACTCTTCTGAGTGTTTCACTGTTGCTGCCAGTCTTGATTGTTAAACACTTTCCTTATTCCTTGTAGGTGGCACTTACTATTTTAACACCTCGAAGAGGAAACAGAAGACTAAGGACCATGATAAATCCAAGGGGAGGACTCCTGAAGATGATGAAGGTAGCTCTATTGGATGTTCTGGAATGATGGCGAGCTTGGTTGTCTTCACATGCACATTCTAGTCTAAGCAACAGGAAACCTATCTTAAAAGTAGGGCAAGCCCAGACACGTGTGCTCCCCTTGCTCTGAGTATACCTGCCCTCAGTCTCTAATTCTGTTGCTAGATCCTTCCTGTCTGTCCTTTTAGAGACGCTTCCATCAGCACCTGTGTCTCTTGTCCTCTTCAGAATGCCTAAAGGCAGGTGGCATTTCTGTTCTCTGCATGGAAAAAGTGAATCTTGGATCTAACCTGAACTCAGAGTTCTGGGGCAGGAGGAAGGTGCTAGAACTCCTTGGCTGAACTCACCTCCATACACACCTAGTTAGTGTTGTAACTGCTTCCCGACTTGAGAAGCAGACCCCAGAGGAGAGGACAGTGCAGTGTGTGGTCTTGAAGAAAGTAGGAGATCACTGTCCTGTAAGAGGACCACTGTGAACCTGTGTCAGCCTCCAGCCCTAGTTCACAGTGAACTCAACTGCAAATCTTAAATTTCTTCTCTACTCTGAAGTTAGGATTGGATGATTATGTGAAGGGAAATAAAAGGTAAGTTTGAACTGAGTTGACCTTTAAGGTGAAAGGTGGCTGCTCGGAGCTGATAATAATGAGAATGAATGAACTGGGGGCAGCCTGTGCGCTAAGGGT